GTGAATCGTCGAAACATCCTAGACATTCTTTGATAGGGTTTTAATTATCTCAGCCAAGTTTTTTCGATTCCTGTGTATCCCATGTAGCCTTTTCTTACCTCAGATCTATCGCCAAACCTGACAGCCATATTCAACTGCAAGACAACACCCAATTACTTCAACCGAGATTGACCGAATTTGAAGCGACTGAGACTAACTACTCGACGTGCGTGGAATGTGTTAACGGCATCTTACACTGAAAATAAATAGCTCGGACTAGTTCACACTTGTTGTGATTGTTGTTTCCTGCTGTATGCAATAATGACTGTAATTTCCAGTGCCCCTTTGGGTCGGGATAATCGGCTTATTTCTAACCGACTTAATCTAAATAATTCACAGCTGACACCAGCCGCTCTTCGACAGATCAGTCTGATTGAAACAAATACTCAACATTGCTCCGTTCGTTTATCTACGTTTCCGTCTGCACTCAATTTGCAAACGGATTTTCCGTATCAGATGTAAGAAGAAATGGAAAATTCTTCCTTATATTTTGTGATCTTGACAATTCGATCCGGTTTCCCATAAGAAAGGAAACAGAAACTTGGAAGTGGTGGAGCTTTCGAGGGATTTTATGAGAAAAACGATTCACGTAATCAAGCGGGATTTATTCTCTTGTGGGTTTGAGCATGTCTGTCATTGGAATCACTATTCAGTTCGCTCAATTCGGTTTGACAACACGCAGTTCAACAAGTTGAAGTCACCTACTATTTGTCTGAAAACTTCTGGTGCAGTAGCGTTAAACCGTGACCTTCGGTAATTTCTCACCATACTTGAAATGGCCACATTCAAGTTTTCAACCAAAATTCATCATCTCTTATACTATTTTTGACCAATAATGTTTGCAGTGTCCCGTGGGAATTTAATTCTTAGTCAGATAAGGCCACAAACGCTTAAACTGCACACAACATCCCAGACGGAGGGAACCTGTTAAATATTGAAATCATCAATGTTTTTGAGCGGTTTAACCGATTCTGTGTAAAATAAAAATAGCGTTCACAAAAGAGAGGGAATAAAATTTCTTTTTTACCACAGCAGATTATTTCTGCGTCAGTTTTACGTGTATATAAGCAGTTTTGAACTGAAAGTCACTCAGACAAATCGGAAGTCTAATCTTGATTGACGAATAGATCACCGGGTTGTTTGAAGCGTGTTTACCCCGCACCCCCAGCGCATACACGCACGTGGTCTTGAATATTTTGCATGAGCAATAGAAGCACACAGATATCGAGACTGAAGGGGGAAAAGTAGCCCGAGAAGTTTATGTACAGCAGTGTTTGAGCCCAAAAGTCAGACAGTGAAGCTGATTGTGTTTATTCGATGAGGCGATTTCGGGGGTGTTCAGGTGCAAACAGCAACTACCTGCAATATCCTGCAATTTTTCAATGTGCTTTTATGCAAACTATCTATAAGTATATTGGCTTCTTCTAAGTCGTATTTGCATTACTGTATAGATAGGCCTAGTCGGAATGATTATTTGTGTTGACAATATTGATCGACTTCAACAAATGTTCTGTTTTCCTGGTGATGGGGCCGGGGGCGAAAGCAATCGGGATTGGTGCGCCTCGATTGTGATTATGGCGGTGGGCTGATACGCATTCTCGGTCCGGCACTTCGTATCAACGATGGCTACTATCATCGGATTCGCGGGTTTCGTCGTAACTTTCATCTGGTGTTAGAAGTCGACCAAGTGCGCAGTGTATATAATTTGAAAGGTAAACTAATTCTGAATCGATTCATGAAACATTTGATTGTGCTCACGCTGACAAGCTTTTTGAATTTTTTAAACTTTTTTTCTAATAAGTCTTCCTTACAAGGAGATTTTTATAACGTCTCATGATTTCCGATCCGTAGTAGAGCAGCGTTTTCCGGTCGTTTTATTAACAACATTGAACCTCGCTTGTCAAAATGATAGAGGAATAAATTAACCATGTTTATTAGTACCTCTGAACATTGTATGCTGTACTTGATCTTGAATCGTGTGAACCAATGCGAACTAGTTTTCTGAAGTCCCCTCAAATCTGTTCTGTTGAGTATAAACGCAACAACTTCACTGAAGTGTACTACAATTAGCTTTAACTGATCAAAACCTACATACGTTCTACGGGTATGGTCAAATGGCTTGCTTTCACATACCAATTACGATGTTCTCCTAGTGGACGTTGCCCTAAATAGGATAGCCTTTCGCTTACCACACAAGGATTCATCAACTTGTCAACATATATTTACTGTTGGTACTTGAATAACCCCACGAAATTTCTCGCGAAGATCAAATTAAACTATAATAAACCTGAGGATGGATACATACATAATTACACGGTAATAGTTAGGAAATCTAACACGTATAATCATTTTACTAATATCTGAGTACTCAACGACAGATAACCATGAATGTTGAACACTTCTTAAGATCCAAAGCATTTCTCAGTTAGGATATTTTGAAATTTCAATGTTGGAATGAGATCAAGAGGCTCTGTGCTGCGTTCCTGTAATTATTCAGTTCTCTTTTACCTCTCGTTCAATTAGTTCCTCTCATGTTTCGTGGACTAATAACAACTGATACAGTAAGGTAATGATGTTTGCAGAGCGCAAATGATGTGTAATAGACCCAATTTGAATGTTTTCTAATTTTCTAGCATGCCTGCTATTTGTTCTATATTCTGCATTTGAAACGATTTCAACAACTCATTTTGGTTCAGTTGTTTGTGTCAATGATACTTTTTCTATCTCGCTTAAAATACAAATCCTGCAACCAAGTTTGTTTGAATAAAAAACTAGAAGTGTAAGCCCACAAAGACTCATTCTCTTATTCAATTAGCACATGCAACTTGAATTCAGCTGCCGCGACTAACTGGAAACAATTTTTCTTTAACTTTTGCAAATTGTTTGACGTTCGAAGAAAACAGATTGTCCACTTTAATCCCGCTTTAACCTGTGCTGTATTTCACGTCAACAAGCGCTTAATTGACACCGGAGACCGCAGCACCCCAGTTGTTTGCCCCGCAGTTAGTTGATCGATACACACAAATACCAGTTTTCTAAACACTGCATCAGGTGAAATGTTTGACGATGGGATGTCAATCTGCAGCTAATCTGGTCTTATCCACTCACACATAAGTATACCTGGCTGTAGGGTGTCCGACAGGTAATCCGCACAAAACGGAACGTCCACTTAGTCAGATGGAGGTAAATGTACAAACCATTCTGTACATATGTTCCTTCAAAATGTTTGGCCATTAATGCACCCCGGGTGTTGCAAATAGCCAATTGAGGTTTAAGTTTAACATGTATAATCGGAAAGGTGTTCTAGTATATTTGCAGCTTTTCTAAACGCTCTCGTATTCATTAAATATATGGTGACGGAATCCATTCTGGGATAAAGACTAGAGCCACCGCAAATGTGGTTGAGTACACATACTGATGCAGGGTGAGGAGCCTACACGAATGTTAGTAACAAAATTCAACAAGCAAATTAGTCTGATTGGATAAACTTTTACCTTGAATTCGAGAATGCAACAACTTTTATCTCGGAAATTCGGTCCATTTCAACGAAACTGTCATATTCACTTCCCGACGGATCATTTGACTTGAGACAATTTTAATTTAAAAATAAACCCACATGACACATGGATAGATAGATAGATAGATAGATAGATAGATAGATAGATAGATAGATAGATAGATAGATAGATAGATAGATAGATAGGTGGATAGATAAAAAAAATGCACAAGCCCAGCAAATAAAATGTTGAGGACAGCCGAAGAGGAGAAATATGCTTAAACATGTCGTCAACAGAAGCCACTAACCGGATAGGCTTATCAGTCTCAGGAGAGGACACCGTTCATTTGCGTATCTTCGAAGGAAAACAAAATATCGAACAACAGTAACATTCAAAGATGTGCAGCCCGCGTTGCCAAACGAAGAGTTGTACATATTCATTCAGGTGCGTCTATATGCAACCGAAATATGATCGATTATTTCCCCAAATTGTGGAGGACAGTGGTTTCAGCCAACACATAAGAGAGAACGCAGGGAAAAACTGGATTCAACAAGCGTACTTCAAGCATATTGAATGAAGGGAATTGGCTTACAGATAATTCCTTCTGGATGACTGGAATCGACTCCCTGAAAGAAACAAATGGATTTTCCATGAGCTGTCATCACAAATGAGTGCTTTCAAGCACGAAGTAACCTATCCTTTATAGTTGCCTAGAATGGTCATGATAAAAGATCGGATTTGCTGGTTTCACATGCACCAAATGTGGGCCACTGTGACCAAGTGATTGTCCCCTGCGAAGAACTATTCCGTTGTTTGCTACATAATTAGGTAATTAGTTTGTGAACAATCGATGGCAGGGTGTTGGAAGATGGAGGACCAAAATACACATGTGTAAACGATAAACAACGTCCTAAAAGTAAACAATATCAGAACAGCTCGGAAGCACTGAACAGCTGTTTCGACCTGGTTGGGTCTCATCAGCAGAGCGAATCCATCGACCCGACTGGGGATCAAACCCGCTCTTCATTTGCTATATACACGACGAATTGTCATTTGAAATATCACAACAGTTAATAACTTGTTCAATGTATACTCATTTGCTTTAGAAAATATTTAAACTTTCAGACTGTTACAGTGTGACATTCTCTAATCAGTGCAAAGCAAAATCTTTCAGTAGTTTGTGGGATTTTCAATCTTGCATACATTACACCAGATTTGTGAGGAAGGTGGATGATTCTCGTGAATATTTATCACACGTCCTACGGCAACGGTATCCGGTCCGCTTTTGCAGATTCGTACTCCGTCCGTATTCGCAGAACTATAAACATTATTCCATCTCACGGAAAGTTCCTTAATCAGTGATTGCTAGTGTTTTGTCATTAAATTTCAATTGATTGCAGCCAGGGACAAATCGTCCTGGTACATTTTCAAACCCTACCGATGCGTTTGTGTCATGAAATAGTCTTCTATCTGATGAATCGGTACTTTAACTGACATTCAGAAAAATGTTTGTCACCTGCGCGAAGAAATCTCTACTTTACAGTAACTGAGTCTACGTGATGGTTACAACAACTATTGAAGTTTTTTTAGGCACTAAACATATGTTTATAGAGAGGAGCTCCAGCGGAGTAGCATCCAACGACTAAACAGAATCTGATATTACCTATGTGGACGGTTTAACCTTATAGAGTTGCATCGGACTATGAATGGAATTGATGCCCTCATTTTGCCTCGTGAACCCAATGTTCTACCTAAGCTCATTGAAATGAAAAACGTATTGTTTTCTTTGACAACAGTATCCTCTCCATAAAGAACTGAACGGACAATTTAATCTCTGTGCCATATTTATTTTTACCGAAAGTTTTCCCTGGAAATATTTACGCTGACGAAGCAGAATGCTTGTCTTTTGTTTTTGGACATTGTGAACCTGATCGTTTTACCATTCATTGAAGTTCCCCGGAATTCCTTTGGCTTCTGGAGCCGCCTCAACATGAAATGTTTCATCGGTGACACAGTTAATACGAGCTAGCTGGCAACATTGTGATAGATATTCTTAACATAAATTGTTGAGCTGTCACAAATCAGCTCATTATCGTGGTATCGACCATTTTTATGCGGAATGATACCTTTTGTAGCAGGGAGGACTCTGTTAATTATTAGTCAGTACCAACTCGAGTGAACACAATTTAAGCCATGAACATGGATGCAAACAAGTCACTGATATGCTAAGTCAAAGCCAATCGTTTACAAGATGAGATAATACTCATTGTCCAATTTGAAATCTATAACTGCAGGATATAAGGCATTTATTATTAGAATGGTTTACTAAGTTCCGCCGTCACAAATAATGAAGGCGTTTAAGAACCGTCAGTTTTCAGCGTCATGTACTTATCACTTCAATTCCTTCACAATGCAAAGATGCAAATTCTCTGTGACGCTGATCATAATTATGAAATGATACCCGAAAACTCAACTGTATTAGTGCTCACTCTGTTTATACTTGTATTATATGGAACTGATATGGCAAAATACAACAATCTCTAAAACTGGCCGTGAGCTGTAACCAATAATTTACCCCAGTGTTCTTGTACCAATTTAAAAACCCCATGTAATATGTTTTCAGTCTGGGAAGGGAGCAAGGAGGCAAACAATGACAAATTGTGAACTACATTTGGCGCCGTCTTGTACACATCATGTTCAATAAATCACTTCAATATCTGTAGTGTGAACCCGAACCGACACAATCAACAACTTGGTGAAATTTAGTGATATCGTTTCGGACGATCGTGTGATAGGGTATGCTTGTTGCATTTCCCACCTCAACACAACTCGCGCTAGATCAATCACCGACCAGTAGACAGATATCTTCATTGTTTGTTCGTCTTTTGTCACAAATATGTTTGTGTGTTTGCGTGACTGCGCGTTTATATCCAAATGAGTCTCATTTATCCAACCGTTGTTCGCAGGTCGGTATGGGAAACAGTTCAACGGACAGGAGACGATATGGCTGGGACACGCGCCCAGTCTGAATCGCACAGATTTCTATCAAGGATTTATGTCCGGTAAGCGTCAGTACGAACTGGTAACGTGTGAACATGTAACCCGACTTTATACATTCATATGATTTGACGATAAGACAGATTTTGAAAAATGTTACAACTAACAGAACAGAAAACGGTACGTTTGCATCAGTGTTCAGAGAGTGTCATTCAGCAACCAGTTTAACACATTACTTGTGAATTTCTGACCAAGAACCAACAAATAAATGTTTTTGGCATTGTTCAAAGGTAATGCAATTTTAGGTATCAGAAACGTCTGCCATTTAATCAGTAAATATATATATATATAGCATTTATAATTTATCAGAAGTTATACTTTAACAAAACTGTAATCGATAGTTTTTAACTACAATTGTATGTTTCATTTTGCGTAAACTAAGGTTAAAATAGATGATAACCACAAATGCAGGTATTAAATTCGTCCATTCAGACTGAAACTGACAATTCCAAAGAAAATCAGAAGACGCGCCTGAAAATTGTTCTGGTTATCGAAGCTTAGTTGGTGCCTATCCTGATTAGCAGAAATAGGATTTACAGGTCTAATCGACAGTTTTAATGCAATATTCCACATTTATGTGATTTCAGGACGAGAGCGGTTGTCTACCAATGGAATCTTTCGGTTTACGTTTCTAATGAATCATTGGCAAGGACAGCAAAACGTTTGCACAATGTGTGTGATAAACAAGTTCAGTCCTTCAGTAAAATGATCATAACGTATCGAAAATTGCGGTTTAACGCTTCGCCTAAATTAAACTCTTCTCGGGCATTCTCTCTATTGATTCGATTGTGCACTGCTAACGTTTTTCACTGCCATGTCCGTTTTGGTTACTCTGCTGGATGCAGTTTCTATCATGTACCATGCCGGTATGAGTCTTTTATCATTCTGGCGCCAGTTCAGCAGCCCTGACAAGTCTGGTTGCTTCCGGTATCAGCGGCAACTATGTCGATGCATACGTATGTCTAAATGAGAACCGCATAATCAAGTACTAGACCAGCGTAGCTTCTTGACATTATGAAAGCGAATCAGAGTGGACGACACCCGTTGCCTGCGTGTGGTTTGCATGCACAGCACGACACGTTGTGATCTTATCTTCTTCTGTCGATTTCCGCGATGAGGAATAGAAGCTAGGTAATCTGTGATTTGGTGGATGAATAAATACACTCCCTCGAAAAGTGATGGAAATATTCATTGTAAATTACTGTAATAGTGAGCCGAAGTTCGTAAGCTGAAACTCGGAATAAAATGATCGCCAAATTTACGACACACTACAATCATAATATAAGTTGATACAGCTAAAAATAACTCGTACCGATGACGAACATTCACTACGGGTACGTGTATTTCCATTCCTTCACAAGACAGTATGTATCATTCGGTTGAAGTCAAGGGTCAACATTTTTCAAAATATTTAACACTAATCTCACTATAGGATATAATGAAAACGTCTCCAACGTTTCAGATTTATAGATTCCAAATCTAAGAAAAATGTGCTCGGTAAAGCATTCATCGTTTTTGTTACTTGTCGTCTATTCAAAGTTGCCTGGAAATATAAATCTACTGAATCTGTGCGTGATTTCTTTCCGAAGCTCTAGATCTCTGACAACCAACCCTGCCTGAATTAGCAAACAAAATCGAATCTAAGCTTTCAAAAATCAAGCTGAAAAAGCGATTATATTCTGCATAATGACACACGACAAAGGTTTTCCAAAACTTTCCATATCTCGTAAATTTGAGTACACTCAGATGAGGCATGAACAAACGCAGCGAAATGCCGGTAATCTTAAAGTTTGAAACCGTGGGCTCTTCAATGATATATGAAAGAAATCATCGAGTGTGTATGTAAGAGAAAAGCAAATAGGCGTACAACAAGTTACAGTAGGTGTCCAAAAGTGTAACACCTACATAAATACACACGCGCACAATAAATTGCAACCGAACCATCTTTTCCATGCTGAATCAGTGCGCAGTGGAATGAACGTCTAATACCGAGTAGCCATTCACCCACCAACTGAGAAACTGTCCGTTTACAGACAAAAAAATGATGAAATGAAGTCACGATTAATACAGTCGTTTCATGTACGACGTTCTATGCAATGACTCCGCAATGTCCACCATTCTGAATTCTGGGCTGGAGAAGTTTGAGTCTTACTTCAGTTGCAGTAGGAACACAAATCGCCTAAGACATGTCGAGGTTATCACGAATGATTATTCCATTTTCGTTTGTTTTGTCCTAATTCCGTGGAGACCCTGACAACCAAGAGAACCGGGTCAAAATGGTGGATGAATCATCTTCCAGCATTTTCTTCCAAATAAGGACAGAACGTGATAACAGCTGATTGAACAAGTGATTTTACCCATGATTGTATGCATTATCTCTTTTATCCACGATTCGTTAGTAAATGCGCTCATTTGCAGAAACACAGCGTGAGCCCCACTCGTTGTTTGATGGCATCATTTCGAAGGGTAACCAAACTCTGACTAAGTATTACACAAGGAATATGTTATATATGCGAATGATCTTGGTTAGATATCAAACCGGATTTGTGCATCCCGGACCATTTGTAAATTGCACCAGCGTTAAATAATATCAGTTTATTCAATCCGCTTATTCTCCTTTCATTATCAAGAGACAAGGGTGCTTTCCAACCAATACGGTTCCGGGTCTTAAACCCTACCGTTATAATTCCGCAAGGTACTACCTGTTTGTGGGAGTTGTGTATTGCAAATTACAGCTAGGATGTCGAGAATGTTCTAGACGTTTGCAGATATCTCATTACAAACATGCCATCACGTTTATTCCGCACCGTTCATTTTCATTGGGTAACCCAATCAATAAACAATACTTGGTACATCGTACACTCACCCAGCGACAAGTCTGGTTTTCACCGCGGAAAACACCGCTAGTAGATGATATTCAGAGCAATATGCTCTCTGATCACTGGATTTTATTATGGTTTACTATTCACTTTGTTCATATAGGTATAGGTGCCTTTTTGAAACTTTAGTGTTCCGGAAACCTGTGTAAATGGTTTCGATTGCTTGGTTTGATGCTAAGCACAATGCAACATTTCTATTCATCCGTATAGTGTGTAAGGATACTCCGGTTTCCAGTGTGTTACTACTGATGCTGTAATCATTGCATCAGCTGTTTAGTTCTTAAGCCAGACTGGATTGATCGCTTACTCTGCCATGCATATATCTCTCTGTTCGATCAATAGTGCTGATGCAGGATGCACTATTCTAGGTAATTGATAGAGTTGAAATTCCAAGAAGACAAAATGTGTATTTGTTCAAAGGCCCGTGAAACCTCATGAATGTGAGGAAAACAAAAGGTTTTATTACACAACATTTGCAAGTAGTGAGCGACGTTCAGGTGTTTGTAAAACCCAGCTGATGTCGTTACCAAGCGTGTTGACAGTGCTAAACACGGTTGAGCTTTTTGAAACGAACAATCTGACATCCATTTGGTGAGAACATTTTTTTTGTGTAGGTGCATCCACTTTCCAATCATCTACCGGAAATGAATTTGGTACATATCATGCAGCCGTGAAATTTAAATTCTTTATGAGAAAAATATTGCTTGTATTATTTGTGTACAACGAATCGTGATGAACAAACAACTGTTCCTATTAGTTAGTGTTCTCTAGATTATTTTATCTTCACGGCAAATATGACAACCGTGCACTTCACTCACCTACAAAGAAACCTCAAACCTGTGGCAGATATCATCGGGGTCCCCGTTCCATCTCTGTCTCCTTTCCAGGAGTATACTACAATGGGATTTTGCTCAGTGACATTGCGGCCGGACAAACCTATCTCCCATTCATCCACGTGACACGTTATGCCAATGTGGAACACGTGAACAATTTTGAAGCTGCCCTCTCACCAGCCAGTCCGTTTCGGAGGTGAGTTTCTTTCTCGCTCTCTCTTTCTCCCCAATTCACGGGCATTATTCGGGGCTGGTCAAACAGAAAATAACAAGTCAAACCATTGTCAGTTTTAATCAGCGAATGCCAGATGGCCAGATAATGTGTCACACGGAATCGGCAACGAGCAGGACAGCGGGACAGGAACAGCGAGCAGCGATTACTACAAATGATTTGGATTCAGTTACGAAAACAATGATCTGTTGTACGGTCCTGACGTGAACATGACTTAATGAAACAGAAACAGAATTAGGCATTATAATTTTCTCAAGAAATTTACTAATTGTTATTAAACTCCACGGGATTTCATACATGTATTTCCTTCTGTTGGCTTAAAAATGGGAATCACGAACAGGGTTAAACATTTACTTCCAGACACATTTCTCTGCATCTCAACAGGTATAGTGTGGCATTAAACAACAATGCGATCGATTTCTCGTTTTATGTGGGCCTTTTTCCGTAGCATCACACAAGGAAATCTCCCTCTTATTCAGTTTGATATCTCACGAGATAATTTGATTGTGAGCTATGAAATGTGATCGCTCCATTGTTTCACATCGTCGTGTTCTATTCACCCTTGACCCCAAACAATTAAATTTCCTTTCACTGAGCACTGAGCGGCTCCGTAAAACAAAAGTTAACGAGCATTCACAGTTCATCCCATATTATGTACAGATATTGTACTTGTCTAAAGTACGGGCTCCAATATCCTCGAATACGAGTTTACAATAACGCAAAACTAGCTTCTTTAGGGCTTTTTCTCTTGTTTCCGCGTGTGTCGCGCTATTATTTCAAACAATCAATTATATGTACAGAGTTATTTCTTCCCTTTTATATTGATCTGTTCGACGGAATAATAATCTGTCCAATACTAAATTCAATACGAAGATAAAAGGAACAAGTACACAAGTTCTATAATGCATGAGCTATTGGGCACATGCCCAGGATTTCGCCCGCATCCCATAGCTTTCACATTTCCAGTCCTCAATAAGATTGTCCTCAAGCACCTCCAGCAGTCCAGAAACACTCCCAATGATCCGTTACAGTTCGCTTAAAGGTCTAAGGGATCCACTTTTTACGCAGTTTCCACCCTAATTTATTTTACCGCATTTGTTGACAGGCAGAATGAAGATAAATCCTGATTTAAGTTTAAGACGAAGTTCAGTTGTTCCCCACTCTGGGTTCGAGAGTAAACCTGCAATATAGGGTTGATTGCATAGCAAACTGTGACAAAGATAGTTTTGCTCCACCTTCAGAATAGTACAGATTGTAATACATTCGCACTCCACGACGATAATCCCTTTTCAGTTCCTCAATCGTTCTCGGGTTTCGGGAGTAAACGACTCTCCTTAGGTATCTCACCACAAAAGCCGATCGAACTCATTCATTTATCAATATATCAGATGGTTCAGCTGTAATACGGGTTCTAATGCTTGCCCAGTTAATTCCATCGAGACCCCACATATTGTCCACAGTTGCTGATCTATGGTATACCCGGTGAACGTCGGCTAAGGGAAGCAGGATTGCCTCATCGCACTGCTTGATTGCAACTGAAAACAAGAGTAACACAAACATTAGGATCCAATAGTCATACAGTTTCGTAGTTGGTTGAAGGATAACAAGTTGCACCAATCGCGAAAACCGATCTAATCAGATCTCAGAGAGGATCAGAGGGAATTTAGTGTTCAAGGTCAAGGATGAGATAGGTAAGACGATGTGAAACGATAGGAGTAATGACACAGTAGAAGCTGTAACTCCTCAACCTGACACAAAACTGTTCAATCACTGTTTGTGATGCTGCTGTGCTGACTTGCTATCCAGCTGTCTGATGCTGGCACCCTTGTTCTGCACAGTCGAAGTCCACTGGACAATAGAAAAACTCGAAATGATCGGGTGGTGATAGCTGAGCAAGCGCCAGGTACCTTTTTGCACCGGATACATCTGACCGATCGATGAATGTACTCAATTGACTGTTTTGTCTATCGGAATAGAATCGGAAAATAATTTATGAATCATATACTACGTAATTGTAGGCAGATAGCGTCCATAGTATAGCGCAAAACTATCCTTCTTATATCCCCAGCCACCTCTGATCGAACCATTGAGATTTACTCAAAATAGAACAGAAATACACCTTAGATGGTGAAAACAAATCAAGAGCAACGGCAGATTTATTCCATGTATGGTGCTTATCCTTTTTCCTTGCATTACAACAAGGACGAAGGCAGTTTTCTTTTACCCTCGGACTGAGGAATTTTTGCACTGCGCGATGATGTTCTGTTTTAGGTATCATAGTTTGGCTTAGCATTTGCGTGTATCAAGTGCCGTGAACAGTGATTTAATTCAAATTGTTCTTACCTACCATTTTGCTGTTTATCAAGTAAAGTTTGGTGATCTAGCTGGGAATGATAATTCCTTATACTAACACCTCGGAACTGTGATTTCGAGGGAGCAAATTCTATTAGGTTCTCAACTTTTAAACGAAAGGAGTTTGAAAACTTTTCATTTACATGAGGAATGATCTAAGCTGGTAGGTGATGACAGACTGGTAAAGGCTACTGAAATATCGTTCTCATTGAAATGTGTTCTAATTCCCCCACCAACGCCGCCTAACTTTATCCATTCACTGTTATTTTTGTCTCTCATCCCTGTGGTTGGACGCTTTCCCTCCCTAAACATTTTATCATTATTCAATAAAAAACCATTTGCAACCTACCACGATGTATTAGGTGATATGGGCAAAACTCCAGTTGGCGCTCTGAATCATAAGGTAAATGTATAGAGCAATTGAAGCGTGAAATGAAAAGCCAGGAAAGGCTGTACAGTTGTTTCGATCTGGTTAGGTCTCACCAGCAGTGCCAATTCGTCGTCCCATGTTCAAACCCCTGTTGGATCTATGGATTCGCACTGCTGGTGAGACGCAACCGGGTCGAAACAGCTGTTCAGTGCTTCCGTGCTTTTCAGTTCACGCGTCATTTGTTTTATAAACGAGAAATTCCCCGTGTGAAATTCAATTGGATCCTCCATTACCTTCATGTTCTGATTAATGTCAATAATCTTCTCGTAACTCCACCTAGATGAATGGATGAAGGGTTTTGCTTTTTGGTCTTCAGCAGGGAATATTTTGAAGTGTTGCACTCTTAGGTAATTTTTCCGGCAGCTATTTGACTGTGCACAGCCTGATTAGCATGACCACATGACCGGACGGTAGGTGACAAAGACAACAAAAAATATCAATATTACGAACCAGTGATCCGAGATTATCGTGCTAGATGGAAAGATTACAAGGTACGCAAAAAGCGGAACATTATTCAATCAAATTGCAAAGAGGATTGTAGAAGAATGGAATGGCAAGTCAATATCAATCCAAAAGCATATCGCACTGTGCATACGTTTAACAGTACATCGATTACATTAAAATACGGAAGGAGCAAATTTTCATTGCAATGTCACTGCAACTGACAGTTCATTTTGTACTCTCCTAGGCCACACTTCTTTTTCCCAACTGGAACAGATTATGCGAATCCGCGAGCAGCCGGGGATTGGTGTTGGCAAATGTGATCTAAAACCGGGTCGATCGGGTTGGCACAGTGATTTTATCATTACTCCGTTAGGATATGTGATAGTACTCGTTTGTGCTCGGTGATCTTGAATAAGGTAGATGGTTGATGAAGGTGTAAGTAATGTGGTTTCGTGTGCTTGTGTTACTGTTGGATGATAAATGAATGTGTGGATGATGGAGGTCGGAGGTAAATTGTAGAAAGACATTTAATCAACTGACTCAGTTCGTCGTTGTAACGTGGAATATGTTCCGTGTACGCAAACGTATGTCTGATCTGCCAAGGTAGACGCTCCGAATTTACACCCCACCGACACTTATCACACTGTTAGACACATCACACATAGGATACCAAATAAAATAAACAGGATTGGTTTTGTAAAAAAAGCCATCTTCGGTCATGCAGTCACAGGCCAATTTCAGCAAAAAATTATCCTTATGCCTCTCTCAACGATTGTTGAATTATCTCCACTCCCAAGCGCATAATCATTACTATTTATGTGAATCTGGAAGGCCGGTAAATACAAAGCCAGTAAATCACATTTTATCAGATTCCCTTTTCAATTGGAACGAAAACACGTTAGAAACAAAGACGAATTAAACCCGTTACAAAAGCATTGCAGTCCCACCGCCGCGAATAACTTTGCACATCCCATTCGTTTTTCCTAACGGGTTCGATAGACATACCGAGTTTGGCGGTGAAATAACAAATACGTTTATGCAGTTCACCACAAAACGTTGCTGACCGTACCGAAAATGAAAGAGAAATCCAGAAGTCAGGCCTTTCATCAGATCAATGTCAGTATGCATACATAAGACGTACATAAGATGACCAGAATATATGGGACGTCCCGATCACACTGTGACATGTAATTTTAAGCAGAAACAGCCGAAAATCAACCAAATAGATTGATCACCAAACAAAGCTTTCGGGAGCATGTTAAGGGCAAAATGCCACGTGAATCGTCAAACTCCATGAGTCATGCATCGGAGATGAAAACGGGGCTTCATTTGAATGTTTCAATGCGGAAAGCACAACAAACACTTGAACCGGTTCCTTGGACGAAATACCAAACAAAATAGAGAAGGTGCACAGTTTCAACCACGTTACAAATAGAAGGAACTTGATTGTGAACTGAAACTCCTCTTGTATTCAAATGCGGTGGAAATGTTTGCGATAACCGCTGGCCAACTGTTTCGTCCTGTCTGGGACTCGTCAGCAGTGCGCGTACATTTTATTTCCCTATCAGGACTCGAACCGTAAACATTCGGTCGATGGTCATCATCTTTTGCGAATGGCTCAATAAAACTATGGCTGATATGACCGGTGGGATGAGTGATACTTCATTAAGTGGTATAACGACTGAAACTCAGTTATGTACCGGAGTATCCTTCCTAGTACAGACCCAATGGAACTCAC